TCAATAGAACTCCAAATAGAACCACGCAACACCATGATTCAGGTGCTACCGCAATGATTTTATCCAGCGACCAAGAAAATGGAAATGACCTTGATTATATGGCAGACCAGTCCCTTGCAGAAATTGCGATGGAGCAGGGAGAGTTAAGTGACTCAGAGGAAGAAATAGGAGAAGGTGTAGAGTTTGAGTGCGAAGAGATGGAGGACTCAGAAGGAGAGGAGATATTTGAATCCGAGGAGATAATTAATGATAAAAATGAGGTATCTCTTAAAAATAACTCTCTTAAACTGCTTAGGGGATTTCTAGGACTCAGAAGGAGAGGAGACATTTGCACCTTTCTTCTCTTTATGGTACAAGCCCAGAATGGTGAAATCTCGCAATGCTGCTTGACAAAACATGTATTTAAGATGACTAAGCAGTTTTTGGCCAATGTATCCCTGAAGATAAATGTGAAGGTTGAAGGAAGAAATACTGTGCTGGTTGATGTGCTCTCTAGACGAATTTCCCTTGTCAGCGACCGCCCAACTATCATTTTTGGTGCAGATGTCACCCATCCCCCCCTGGGGAGGATTCTAGCCCGTCAATTGCTGCGGTAATTGCTGTAGACTTCATTCTTTTGGTTTCATTAATCCACTCCCTTCATCTATATATCTGAAGCAAAGAAGTGCTAACTTTTCATATCTTTCAGGTGGTTGCTTCTCAAGATTGGCCTGAGATTACAAAGTATGCTGGTTTGGTTTCTGCTCAAGCGCATAGGCAAGAGCTTATACAAGATCTGTACAAGACTTGGCAAGATCCAGTTAGAGGACCTGTGACTGGTGGCATGATAAAGTATTCTGCCTTTTTCTTTCCTCATTTTCAAAGAACATGTCTTGATTTTCAAGGTTCAAGCTAATGGACTTAAATTTGCTTCTGACTGATGGTCTATCTCATTTATAATTCAGGGAATTGCTTATTTCCTTCCGTCGAGCAACTGCACAGAAGCCTCAGAGAATTATATTGTACAGGTATTGTTGAATAATGCTTCTATACCTGCATTATAGAAATTTCTGTTCCTTTTTTGTCTGAAGTGAATTATCCTTTTCCCCTTCAGAGATGGTGTTAGTGAAGGACAATTTTATCAAGTTCTTCTTTTTGAACTTGATGCAATCGCAAGGTAATTTCCCGTCTGCCTGTTATACCTTACTATGCCTGTTTATTATAAGCTCCGGATTTCTCTCTATTTTTTGGACCATGAAGATGGGTAGAAAACAAGTTTGCCCTTTTTATTTGTTAGAAGGTATGAATTGACTTGAACCCAATTCAGGCATGTGCATCTTTAGAACCCAACTATCAGCCCCCAGTTACCCCACGGGAGAGCATGTACTGCGTCAGGAGGTTTCCAAAGAAGAACCCTTTGATTCTTTGGCCAAAGCGGGTGCGGGCCATCTCCCCTAGCATGATCTCACCCACGTTTATGGGCCGCCCAGTTATCAGAAAGAATATCACACACACTCGAGCTCGAGTACATTCACTGTTATGCTCAACGGGCATCAATCTAGCCTGCATGAAGTTTTGCCATACCTTGGCCGTCTTGTTGAAGTCGAAACGGAGCATCTCAAGGTGGCCATCTCCCTTGGTCCGTGTCCACTTCGCATTAGAATCAACGCCACAAAGAGACGTATTGTCCGATAGCGTGGGCTTTTGACGACCTTTTGTAGCCTCCGTAGATTAGGGCTATCAACTCCCAAAAATTCAAACAAAGATCGCCTATCCAGTGGTATCTCCTTTCCTTGGACCCATGACTGGAACAAGGTGTTCCAATTGGCATACATCTCTTGCACCATGTTCAGATTTGCAGGGCCAGGGCATTATGAGCTTATCCATCTTCATCTCTACCAACCGGGCAAGCACATCCGGGAAGTTTTTTTCTAGAGCCTTCACATTAATCCCCATTTCGGAGACATATCTCCCATATGGCACAAAGTTAATATGCCATTTGATTGCATCTTCTCGATCTAGATCCAACCGATGCCGTGGGACCGATGGTGTCCTCATCGACCCGCTAGCAACATGCTTTCCCTAAGCTTGCCGGGAAGAACCTTCACCCTGCTTGCATTTTTTGGGAGGGGAGCAGTAGTGGAGGACTTTCTCACCCCTTTTCCATGGAAACGTTCGGATAATTCTCCGCTACTGCTCCCCCTCCCAAAGGAAAAGGGGTGGGAAAGTCCTCCACTACTGCTCCCCCTCCCAAAAAACGTAAGCAGGGTGAAGGTTCTTCCCGGCAAGCTTAGGGAAAGCAGGTTGCTAGCGGGTCGTGAGGACACCATCGGTCCCACGACCTCGGTTGGATCTAGTTCGAGAAGATGCAATCAAATGGCATAATAACTTTGTGCCATATGGGAGATATGTCTCCGAAATTAATGTGAAGGCTCTAGAAAAAAACTTCCCGGATGTGCTTGCCCGGTTGGTAGAGATGAAGATGAATAAGCTCATAGAATGCCCGGGCCCTGCAAATCTGAGCATAATGCGAGAGATGTATGCCAATTGGAATGCGGACCTGTTCCGGTCATGGGTCCAAGTGGGGGTGTTCATGGATCGGTTTTTTCCTAAAAAGAAACCAAACCAAGTAAGTCGGTTTTTCAAATATTAGAACCAAACCAATTAAGTCGGTTTTTCTCGATTCGGTTTATGTCGGTTTTTCGGTTATTTGTCGATTTTTTCTTAAATATAAGACATACACTACCAAACACATATTCCGGCGACCACATTTTCAATGTAACACTATCAAATCAATTGCCCTTTGAGAAATCTATTATTTACCAAAATATATTGATGATAATTGAATCAAATAGTGATGAATAATTTAAGGACTCAATTAAAAATATGTTATTTTTAACACGAAATGGATTCTTACACTAAACAAAAGAAAACTACCAATCAAACTATAATGTAAAGGTAAAGAACTATATTAAAAGTGCAAATTATACATTTACCATAAATTTTTTGAAATTTTGTATAACAATATACATAAATATAAGTGTAATATAAATTTGAAATAACTACTCATATAGTCGGTTTGGTTCGGTTTTTTTCTGATTAAAACCAAAACCAAACCAAATTTGATCGGTTTTTAAAATTCAAAACCAAACCAAACCAAAAAGTAACGGTTTTTTTGGTCGGTTTGGTTTGGTTTTCGGTTTGGTTCGGTTTTTCGGATTTTTATGAACACCCCTAGGGCCAAGGAAAGGAGAAACCACTGGATAGGCGATCCTTGTTTGAATTTTTGGGAGTTGATAACCCGAATCTGTGGAGGCTACAAAAGGTCGTCAAAAGCCCACGCTATCGGACAATACGTCGCTTTGTGGCGTTGATTCTAATGCGAAGTGGACACGGACCAAGGGAGATGTCCACCTTGAGATGCTCCGTTTCGACTTCAACAAGACGGCCAAGGTATGGCAAAACTTCGTGCAGGCTAGATTGATGCTCGTTGAGCATAACAGTGAATGCACTTGAGCTCGAGTGTGTGTGATATTCTTTCTGATGACTGGGCGACCCATAAACGTGGGTGAGATCATGCTAGGGGAGATGGCCCGCACCCGCTTTGGCCAAAGAATCAAAAGGTTCTTCTTTGAAAACCTCTTGACGCAGTACATGCTCTCCCATGGGCTACCGGAGTGCCCTGGCTATGATGAGGTAGTGGAGGCACCAAAGGTGTTGCTAGACATTACATCCTTGCTGGAATCCACATCAAAGCTAAGCCAGGCGCGAGGAATGAGAGGGACGAAAACTTAAACAGGTCGGAGAAGGAGCGTATGCATATATGCAATGATCTCTCCAGTTCTTCCAAGTAGATGTTGGGAATTGCACTGGGCAGTCATATTCACCCATCTGAGGATGAGAACACTCGCAAAGGATCCGATGATGGGGATAAGATTGGTGATGAAGTCACGGGTCCCATGGCTTTGGTGCCCCTAGGAGCGGATGATGAGCCCGGAGCTGCGGCTGGTGGGCATTCTGAGGAGGAGGAATTCGACTAGCAGGGAGTTCTTTCTTTCCACCTTACTTTGTTTTAAATTTGTTATGCATCGGGGACTATGCATTATTTAAGTGTGGGGTGGGGGAAATACTTCCTGACTTGTAATTGTATAATTTTTTTATTTATTGTTAATTTTTTTAGCTTAGTTTAGAACTTACATAGTCTAATTAGCTAGTAAAAAAAGAAAAAAAATCAGAAAAAGCTAGGACTTTTCCCTACGATGGATCTGTTGGACAATTTTCTTGAGGGATTAAAGTCCGATTAGAAATACCAAAAAGATTTTCTTTTGTTCTTGTTAGGATAGTTAGGTAGTATCCCTAGATTTTTCTTTGGACGCCGGTTCTTTTCCAAGGGTGTAAGCTCGAACCGGGTGTTTTTTTAGGAGTAGGATAGGGTGAAAACTGAGGTGCTCTGAGGTACCTGTTGACATGTTTGGTGTTGGCACATTAAGCTATGGCATGCACTCTGTCTTCCTGAATATTTGATTTGAATTGTAATGCCCAAGTAAATTAAGTAGCCTACTCTGTGACGCCTTTTTCTCAGTTGTTTGACTTGTATGCCACCTAGTGCATTATTGCTTAAAAATTCTCAACTCGCTATGCTTGCTTGACTTGAGAGTCGAATAGAACCGTCTCGATTGAGTCATGTGCAATGTGTGTGTAAGGTTCATGATATTCTGTGCTATCGTGTGTAGTCTAAAACTTGCCCCGTGTGTTAATCGAAGCGGAATCGTTAAGTTGTGCTAGTCTAGGAGATGACGTAGGCATTTCTTGCTTGATAATAGAGGTGCTTGGCACTCACAAATAAAATTTTTCCGTTGCTAGCCCCTTTGAACCTATAGACCTTTTCTTTGGCACCCACACTACAAGCCGTATCCCTATTTGTTCTTAATTTGAGATTGTTGAACCTTTACCTCCTAAGGCACTTAGTCGTTAAAAGAAGTAAGGTGAGAGATTGGGGAGTAGCTTTCGAGTGGAACCATGGAAGAGTTCTTAAGGTGCACTAAAGTTGTGAAAAAAAGGTCACGAGCCGATGAACCTTAATGTATAGAGTGTGTGAAGAAAAAAAAAAGAGAAAAAAAACAAAAAACAAAAGTGCAAGAAAGAAAAAAAGAACAGTTCAAATAATGTAGAAAAAAAATACACCTCCTAGTCTTTCTAATTCGTGCTAGTGGAGATATAGAAGTGTTTAATTGAAAATAGGGCTATGTTAGATATGGTTTATGACGAGTGAATTGGTTGAGAAGAATATGTGCTCGATTTGTGAGTGTAGTGTATTAAAGTGCTTAGGAGGGTTAGTCACTACTCCTAAATGTACCCGACCCCTCCCTTAGCCTACATTACAACCATAAAGTCCTAATTGATTCTAGATTTGGCTAGCTTAGATTAGTAGAGATGTACATTACGGGCAAGTTTATGGTACGACCACGGGATGCACATGAAATTCTTTGTGAGATTAACCGAATTTTATTCAATTGTTTAATCAGTGTTAAAAAAAGCGTGAAGCGAGGAAAAGCGACAACCCACATTTCACGAAAAGCGAGAAGCGAAACGCCCGCTTTTTTTAACTAAAGCGGAATTTTAAAAAAAATTAAAATAAATACGTCATAGACAACACATGTAATTGTAAGCAAATGTTCAATACTTCAAATAAAAAACTAAAGAGTAGCATTAATTAAAGCACAAAATGAGCATCCTATTCTTCTACAAGATTGTCAAATTCTTGTATTCCACTATCATTATTATATTGCTCGTCATCTTCTTCAACTTCATCAACTAGGGACAAAGTAGCTACCTGTTTTCCCTTCCTCTGTGAACTTGAAGTTGAGGTACTCCCCCTCAAACCATAAATCCTCTCCCCAATTCCACGCGCCTCCGCAACATCACCCCAAGTGAAATCAGAAGTATCCTCAAATACTTCTTCATCTGCTTGATCATTCGACTTTGTGCCCCTCAAACTTGTTCCATTCTACTTTGTGCTCCTCCACGATTTTGTTCACCTCTGCCACCTCATGTTTTAGATATGGCCCACTAACTTCATAATAAGTTGGAGGCTTCATTCCTGGGCCATATTGGCCTACGACATCAATAAAAGCAGCAAAAGTGTCAGTATAATTCATGATTCATGAACAAGAACTTTATAATCTTGATGATGATGATGAAACAGAAGAAGGTGACGATGCTTCGTCGCTTTCACCAACATCACAAAAGCGGGGAAGGATGCTTCCACCAATGTCTTCTAGTTGTGGATCTACTGGCAAGACCAAAGGTCCTATGGATTGTTACTTCCCGCAAAAATCTGGAGATAAGGGAGGAAAAAGTGGTAATCCTCAAGTTGATGCCAAAGCGATTTTGAGGGACCGTGCAGTTACCTTTTTTGCGCGGTGGATGTATGATGCAGGTCTTCCTTTTAATTGTGTTAATTATACTGACACTTTTGCTGCTTTTATTGATGTCGTAGGCCAATATGGCCCAGGAATGAAGCCTGTTGTTGTAGTGTTGAAGAAGAAACGAAGAACCCTAGTTTGTTGAAGAAATTGCTGGTTTTACCGTTTTAGTGAGGAAGAAATCGCTAGTTTAGAACTTTAGTTTGCTGCTGAAGAAGTCGAAGAAACTATTAGGTATGGAACAGAAGTCAGCGATTTGGTCTTTTAATTGAAAAAAAGACTTTGGGTTTTTTAATTCAAAAATCGACCGCTTCGATCCGCTTCACCGCTTCTCGCTTTTTAGAGAGAAGCGGGCGCTTTTCTTTACCTGAGCCGCTTTTAATTTGAGTAGCGCCCAACCTCCCGCTCCGCTTCGCTTCTCGCTTAAAGCGAGGAAGCGGGCGCTTTTCTGAACTCTGTGTCTAATGTCCTTAATTTATGTTCAATGGCATATTTGAACTTATGAGCTACTTCTATATTCACTCTTTTGCTTGTGGTGACTGCTATGTTGCTTGGACTCTCCAAAAGTGTTGCTGCACCCGTGTCGAATCCTCCAAAAATGCACTAAATTTGGAGGATCCGACACGCACCCAACAACATTTTTGAAGAGTCCGAGTAACATAGGTGGTGAGGGCACTTGGTCTCATGACAAATTGGTAATGTTGTAAACTTCTCTTGTTGGCGAGTGCGCAAGTTAACGGTGCTTAGTGGTAACAAGTCGACTCTTGAGGTAGGGTGGTTGTGGATAGGTTGTTTGAGTTGGGTTGAATCGCATTGTGTATACTTGGGCTTGTTTAAAACGGGAAGAATGTAAAATTCGTGTGTTCATGCTTGATCGCTAGTATCGACCATAGTCAAAAGGTTGAGTGTGATTGAATTAAATTTGAATTGCTCTTTCCTAGTGAGATGTACGTTTTGGGGTGTTGATATAGTTCTGTTGCTCGAGGACGAGCAAGAGTCTAAGTGTGGGGTATTGATATTTGGCTTAAAGTATGTATCATCTTTCTTTGACTCGTGCGTTGCCTTAGGAATCAACTCCCCCTCAGGTATAGGCTTATCCCTTCTATTCTTTGGCACTTCTTCTAATTCTCTCCCGTTTTTGAGCGCGACTGCATTAACTTGAGAGTTCTTCTCTGTATCACTGGGAAGAGCGCCTGCATGCCTAGTATTTTGATTTGACGCTAACTGCCCCATTTGTCTCTCAAGATTTCTGAAATCGGTCATGAGTTGTTGATTGTCAAGCAACAACTTCTTCAACAAGTCATTCGTACTCTCTTCTACTTGCTGGGTGGCTTCTGAGGTTGATTAAAATTTCCTTGGGGCCTATAATGATTCTGAGTCGTCTGATATTTCCACCCCAGGAGAAGTTAGGATGATTCTTCCAATTTGTGTTCCCATATAGTGCATGTTGATTTATCGGACTTCTGCTTTGTTGCCCTACATAGTAGATAGATTCAGGATTCGTGGGGCACATGTCACTCGTGTGACCGTCACCACATAATTCGCAGTAAGTAGACATTTGTTGTACGTGTTGCATCTGTTGTGTTTGGTGCATTGTCATTCTATTCTTCTGATTTGCCAATTTTGCTATATCTGCTCTCATGACTAAGAAGTCATCAAGCTCAATTACACCGGCTGCTTTCTTTTTAAGTGCTCTTCGTTATTCCCCATCTCCTTGCCAATTATTATCATTAGCGGTGGAATTGTTTAGCAGGAGTTGGATTTCACTATACGGCCTTGCCATGCAATTTCCCCACAAGCTGAGTCAAGATTCATCTTTGATGTCTTGTCTAACTCATCAACGAAAGAATGACCCAACACCTATCAGTCTGACAGTGATGTGGGCAGTCTCTGAGTAGCTTCTTGTATCTTTCCCAAGCTTGACGAAGAGTCTCACCATCCCATTGTTGGAGCCCAAGAATCTGGCTCCTCAGCGACTGTCTTCTTAGTGGGAAAAAACTTGATGAAGAATTTTCTTGCTAGATCATAGTGTGGATCGAGTTCGCAGGCTCCTTTTGCAACGATTCTTTAGCTCCCCTTAGCAGTGAAAAGGGAAATAGTGTCAGCATGACGTAGTCCTTGGAAACGTTCGGATAATTATAAGTGTCCGTAATTTCCAGGAAGTTCTGAATGTGCCGTTGCGGGTCTTCACGAGATAGACCCACATATTGCCCTATGGGCTGAATCAGCTGTACCATGTACTGTTTGAGTTCAAAGTGACTTGTGATATCATGCTTCACAAATAGCCTGAGTCATATTAGCAAGATTGGGCCTTGCGGTTTCTATCACCGGACGCTCTTCTTTACCTGCCATCTCTAGTGGCTGTGGTTGAACTACGATGTCCAACTCTCTTTCTATTCTAGTTCTAGCTTAGACTTTCCTCCTCACCCTGTGAAGTGTTCGTTCAATTTCAGGATCAAGAGGATCAAGAGGAAGGAGGTTGTTTGCCCTTCTACTCCTCCGCATTCAAGAGAAGAGCCTGCGTTAACATAAATAAGGCAAAGTTAAAATTAGAACTTGAACAATAAATAATAAAAGCTTAACTCAGACAGGTAGATAATTTCTAAGTCCCCGGCAACGGCGCCAAAAACTTGTTGCGACCAAACACATACGCAAGTATACGTGGTCGTCAAGTAATAAAGTAGTGAGTAGAATATCGTTCCTACAGAGACTTATGATTAACTTTTGAGTGATTCAAACTCAAACAACTTATCTATTCAAGAGATTTTTTCCAAAATGTGTAGGTAATTAATCGACAATCAAAGAGACTATCGAGCCGTTAACTAAACTAGAGATCAACTAACACACGTAGGCAATTTCGGATAAAATTCAGTAGGAGAAGATATTCTAGGGTCATAGCTTAGCTAACAATCTTGTTGCGTTCTTGGCTTAAACTGACTAGTTGATTTATCTAGTATGTTGATTGACAGGGTTGATGTTACTCGTAAGAATCTATCAAATAGTGATTCTATACTAGCTTAGCTGCAAATTGATTCTAAAACCTTTTTATAATGTAATTGTGAAGGTACGGTTGTTCATTCAAAGATATGCCGCCCTACTGAATTTGATTTCTATCTCTGTAGCCATGCCGGCATACATGTAATAAGATTGGTATTCCATAAACATATAATAGTCAGAGTGGCAAACGGGCGGGTCGGGTCGGGTCGGATATGATTTGGGTAGAAAACGGATACTGAAAAACGGGTAAATTATCCGACCCGACCCATATTTAATACGGATAAAAAACAGGTTAACCGGCGGAGCCCATATTATCCATGACTTCTTGCATATGATAACTTTTGGGAGAATTCTTAGTCTCCCTAACTTGAGGAACTCCCAATTTGAGGCTTTACAAATGTAAAAGTTAAACCCATTGGTTATCCATTGGTTATCCATTTTCTAAATGGATAATATGGTTCTTATCCATATTTGACCCGTTTTTAAAATGTTCATTATCCAACCCATTTTTTAGTGGATAATATGGGTGGTTAACTGTTTTCTTTTAACCATTTTGCCACTCCAAGTCGTGTACTAAGGATTCTGTTGTAAGTTACTGGAGTTTGTGATACTGCAGGGTGCTAGCCGCCCAGCTCATTATCATGTTCTGTGGGATGAGAACGATTTTACTGCTGACGCCCTGCAGTCTTTGACTAACAATCTCTGCTATACATATGTTTACTTTTGACTGCCGTAGTTGAAATTTTCCAGCATTCTAATTCTGGTGGCTTAATTGTTACTCATTATTTCAGATATGCTAGGTGTACTCGTTCTGTCTCCATTGCTATGTTCACTGCACTTGTTAGTGGCTTTTCTTCAGCATCTATTTTTATTTCCCAGTGTCAACCCCCTCCCCCCTTATCCTTTTTTTGTTTGGAATTTCTCCACGTATAGCCTGTTCATCGTATCATGTTACTAACTTAAGTTAATTGATGCTGTTTGCAATTCCACCAGCCTATTATGCACATTTGGCAGCTTTCCGTGCTCGGTTTTACATGGAGCCAGAACCATCTCACAGTGGATCAGTCACAAGCGGAGCTGCTTCAAACAGAGGAGGTGTAGGAGCTATGTGAAGGAGCACGCGAGCACCAGGTGCTGGTGCTGCTGTAATGCCTATTTTATTTTTTTTATTTGGTCCTTGCTTGTAGTATGCTCCTGCGCTCCTGGCTTAGGTGCCTATTTGGAGACTGCAAGTTTTGCAGAAAATAGTCAATACAGTTACTATTATGATAAGAGATGGGCAAGTGTCTGAGTAGACTTGGGGATTTCTTAGTCCCAAAGCAGCGAATATGTTAAAATGGAACGATCCAGCAACCTGTTTCTGTGGATTCTTCCACGTACCTTTGGCTTGTTGATACATGTAGATCGTATTGCCGTCAACACTTAATAACTTGTACACGAAACAGCTTCTGTTTTGAAGTCTTTCCCAGTCAATGGTCGATAGCATTAATCGGCTGAGATGGAGCTTAGATCCCAAGAGTAGCTGCCTTTTAGACGGTTTGACCTAATCGTGTGTTTTGACTCTATTATGATACCTTCATCTGCTGCACTAAGAAATTGACAAGTGCGGTGAATTTCTTACATGAGGAAATTTCAACTGGAATGCCTTAGTATTATTGTGTTTGCACCAGATTAAGCATTATTATGTATTTATGTTGGGATGGGTATTGGTCTCGTCTTGACATGAAGTTGAAACGAATTGCTAAAGATATCTGAAAATATAGTCCAAAATTTGAGTTTGTGTTACAAATTTGGAAAAAAAAAAAACTATGACCAGGTCTGCCTTTAATTATGTGTGAGTAAGTAATCGTGAGTTTGTGACAGGTTGACCAATCCGTAATGAAAACACCAATAGGTAGGAGTCCAAAGTCTTAAAAATTAAAACTAGCGCAGTCCAAACTAAAACATACTTACAAGTTGAATTATGACAATAAATCGACAATGTTTGTGTAAATATTTTGTAGGTCATTGCGCCCGAAGTCACGAAAGGGGACGCCACATGAGGAAAGACAATTTTTTTTTTTATAATGCATTCACGTTAACTAGCTAATATATAAAAAATGGTACGCATTAGGAACATACATTCGCTCTTGTACAGACTGAAACAAAAGAAAAAAAGGAACAGGCATAATGGCACGTTTATTGCAAAGGAAGAAAACTATGAAGGATAGTATTAGTGCGCTTTCAACAATTCAAAACTCAAATAATTTAACCCCCTACCCTAACCTAAAGCTTGACTTTACTTACTGTAATATATATAAGTGAAAACGTCACCACAAATCACAAAAATATGTGCCCCACAATTGAAATTCGAAAATGGGACTCAGCTGGAGGCTATGGCATGGTTTTCTTTCCAGAGTTAGTAATTTTGGTTGATTTATTTTTCTGTATATGGAGATAGTTATTTTTACCATATTCCTTCTGCGTATCATGGATTTTCAATTGATATTAATAATACTAAGTTGTGATGTAGTGGCAATGATAATTTTGAGGATGCTAAATTGATTAAAAAGATTTAACACTTTCATATATAGAATTTCTATCTTTAAAATGCCTTGTGTTAACTTAGAAGGGGTATTTGATTTGAACGTGAGATAAATTTTGTAAAGGCCTTTTTTCGACAAGCACCCTCACAACCAACAAAATGAAAGTTGAATAAACAAATTAATAAAGACGAAATTGAATGTCAATTACCATTTGGTAATGGCACCATGGTTTATAAGTGCTAAATCCAAATTTAGCAACTTTGTGTAATAGAAACGCGGTTTCCAAGTAATGATTGCAATTTACAAATGCATCAATCATAGTAAAAAAGAAGAGGATAATTTTTTTCTTTGTTTTGGTGCTTTTAAGCAAACAATATGTGAATTTGATTGTGACATCTGCACATTCATGAAAGCTTCTGTTCTTTTACAAAATTACTTTCCAGCGATCCTTATAGGGAATATTTCTTTTCTAAAAGTGAGTATTATTTTTAGTTATGATTGATTACATGCCTTTATTCACAATAATGCAAGATGAACAAATGATATTATTGTATAATATTATTTAACGTACTAATTGATTTACCTTTTCATTCATCAATTTATTTGTGTATAGTACGATGAATGAAATAATGAAAGTCCTTATCCATCATTTGACCTAGATGATGACATTTTGTGCAAAATAATACTACTTGTAATTTGGTAAAAAAAACTATCACTCGACCTAGACGATACCTTAGAATTTAGAAACATGCAAAATTTGGGCGGGTTATGAGGTCCAGTAACCCCAAGGCTAATGATGGATAAAAAATATTAACAATGGCTGTTTTCTTTAGAATCTTGATTGTATGGATAGTGATGATAGGCTATAATTACATATTTTAGTCGATTATTACATTTTAATTTATTGCACTTTAGTTGAGTTTGCGCTTTAATCGCTAGTGTTTTGCACTAACGGTGTGTTTTATGTCTTGTACGAGTGATTCCGAGCTATATAGATGTTATGGAATGAATTCAAGTGATTTAGAGCTTTGAAGTCTGAGTAAAAGCCCAAGGAATTAAGCCAGGATCGTGTTCGGGGATCAACGGATGATAGAGCAATAAAACGAAGAATCGAGTAGGCATATTGCGCACTGTCTAGTAAAATGCACATAACTTTTCGCTCAGAACTCCATCTGGGCTCCACAATATATGGTTGGAAAGCTAACTCAAAGGCTATATGTTTTATGTTTTTCCAAATTCCAAATGGAACAGGGTGAAAAACGCGGTCGAAACCACGATCACGGACCTGAGGCGGGCTGAGGCAGTATACCTGCCATATATCGCGTTCGTATCGCGGTTTGACCGCGGCCGCGACATTCCATACGTGAAATATTGTCCTTTTTCGCGTAGAAGAAGGTATAATTATTTGGGCCCGACCTTACTTGGTATATATACATGGAAAAACGGTATTGTAGGAGGTTAGACACACTTTTGACATAATTTAGACCTAAGGAGGGGAGGAGACCAATTTTTGACACAGATTCGACCTAAGGAGGCAGAGACACAATAGGAGCAAGGCGGGGAATTCTTCTACGAGTTTTTCCTTCCTCTTCCTATTTTTCATTGTTGGTTATGACTTTTAGTATTGTAGTTTTACATACTATTATGAATAGCTAATTTGTTATCTAGGGTTTTGATGGAACCTTTTGTAGGATAAATTCTTTTTATGTTTTTATATAATTGAGCCGTAGTATTTTCTCTATTTGTTCAACTATATTATTCTTGTGTTTGATTGAAGGACCCTCAATTAGCTGTGCCTATTTAGTATGTATTACTCGGGAGAGAGTGCATATTTAGGTAGTTGTTGAACAACATCACTCCCGACGTATGTGAGGAATCAATAACCAAGGGTTTAAAGGTGGGATTAGGGATAACGAAACCTTGGGTGCGATCTAAGTGAGCTGTAATTATAGCCAGCTAGCGTAACTCGGGAAAGTATGTCTAGTAAATTGTCGTAGTTACTCGGGAGAGAATTACAACACGCAGAGCACTCATGATCGGCTTAGGCAAAATTATAGAAGATATAGTGGGAAGGATTCTGACAATTGGGGAAATCATAACTCTAGATCTCCTTAATCTTGTCTCTAACCCTTAGTATTTGTAGTTGTTAATTTACTATTTTAATTTGTTAGTTAATTAGTTAAACACAAGAATCTTAATATCTATAAGTTAGGAACTGTTCAAGCATCTCTTTTTGGTGATAATGAACAGTTGTAGCTAGGCCTTAGTTCTCTGTGGGATTCGACTCTGGACTTATAAACCAGATTATATTTGCAATGAACGCTTAGTCCTTTTTATAAGGCATAGTTGGGCAAGATTAAATTTTGGCGCCGTTGCCGGGGAACTAACGGTGTAGTTGTAGGTATACATATTGCTAGGTTTCAAGTTTGAACTTTTATTTTTTTGTATTTGATTTTTATTTGTGTTTTTTATTTATTTTTGTTTTACTTATTAATTTGAGAAACATGACATCTTGGAATTATGAGAGTTTTGATATTGGTAATTCTACTTTTGATCCTTCTTATGCGTTTAGTGGAGGAAACCACCCAGGGCAAAATTATCAAAACATTCCCGAGAGCGAGTTATGTGCACCAACTCAATCTTATGTGTGGAATGTGTGCGATATGTGTGGTGGTCAAGATGGTCACTTTCATGGTTGTGCTTATATTTCTTATCTTCCCCCAACCCCTTACTTTGATGGTTCTTCTTTTTCTTGTGGAGTTAATAGGAACAAAGAACCCAGGTATGAGGACCTGAAAAAGATCAAGGATATGCTAAAGTGCCTTACAGAACAATATGACGAGATACAACCGCGGGTACAAAGCCAAGGGGCAACTATTCACAACTTGGAGGCTCAAGCGAATAAATTAATTGAACCTTGTAAAGCGCAACAAGTTGACATTGTGGATAGTAGCCAATATGAGCATGATTTGGCTATAGAAATTGCCATTTTACTGGAGGATTTAAAAAATACGAGGATGAGCTAGAGGAGGAGGCTAGAGTAGAACACCAACAATCAATCGCACTAGATTTTGAGGATGTCAATGTTGTAGAAGAGATACTAGAGTCAACCAAGGATATTGAGGATACATATTTAGTTGACTCTATTTTCATTAGTGTTGAGAATGTAGACAGTCCCAATGTTCATGTAGTTGAGCGCATTGGTCCTCACTCCAAGCATTTGTCCACATTGTGTTTAGATGATGATATGGAGATAGAGTCGTCCGAGCCATTTGAGGAGTCAAGGAATGAGGAACAAAGTGCTTACATTCTGGAATTCTTCTTGCCAGAAAGTCGGGATTACACACCTCATCTAAAGGCCAAGAAGTGCAGAACACTACATTATTTTATTGGGCTAGTAGATTTATTCCACCACCCCCGGAGCATGATCATAGAGCAGAATCAAAACTTGGGGTTCAATTCATAAGCTCGAGGTGGAGGCAAAGAGTGATTCACGTCGTGCCGCGACGTTAAATCAAGTGCTTGTTTGGAGGCAACCCAACTTTATTTTATTTTTTTATTTTTAATTTTGTTTATTTTTTTATTGTATTATTCTTGTAGTGTCGATTTTTGATTTTTAGGAGAATGGAATGCAAAACCATTGGAAGGATGCAACAACAAACCAGATGGTTGGAACTAAGTGTGAGGTACCCACACGAAGGACCATGCCTGGGAGAAGTCTGAGTACCCCATGAGATGCTAGTGCTTCGGCCTTTGGCCTACCATGGAGTTTCTTTTACCCTCTTATTAGTATGGTGTGCACTGGGGACAATGTACAATTTTAAGTGTGGGGTGAGGAGATTGCCTGGGTGACTTTCTATTCTATTTTAGTTGTGTTAGTTTAATTGAATATTTTTTTTTATTTTTTTAGAAAAACGAAAAAAAAGGATTGGACTTTTCCCGACGATGGATCTATTAGACAATTTTTTGAGGGATTTAAGTCTAAAGAAAAAAAAAAGTTTTCTTTTGTTAGGTAGTGTAGCAATTATCCCTTGATTTTTCTTTAAACCGCGGTTCTTTTCCAAGGGTTTTATTTGAACCGGGTGTAGTTAGTTTTTTTTTTCCAGAAATATGATCCATTGTATTATATTTTGAAATGAAGCAA